CACTGCTGGTGTGTAGTTCGATTGTGATAACCCTGCCAGGGACTTAATACTGTGATATACCCCCAGATCTTGAACGTATATAAAGGTTAGAATTTCTTTTTTTTTTCGTATCATAATTTTTTCTTTGTCGCGTAAAAGAGGTCTTTTGAAATGTTCATTCTATTGCCATGTTCCCGGGGTAGGTGGTTTGATTGGGTGGAGAAAGGTTTCGATTCGTCATAGCGACGTTGTCATGTTTCCCGTATCTCGTTGCTGCATCATTAAAAGACAAAATGCCGTTTCACTATTGTTGAAACATTGACACATGCACCACTCTCTACATACTCGTCTTCTTTATCACATTATATTTATTAGTTAAAGGTATTCTCTTTTTTTTTTTCTATTGAAATGAATATATATATATATATATATATATATGTAACGCTCTAACTCTACTTTGTAAATTGATATAAATTATATATGATGAATTAAACTTGGCAATATTCATTCTTGAAATAGCTCTTGTGAATTAGATGACCTAATAGCAGGTCAAAATAAAGTTTTTAAGAATTACGAATTCCGTAATTAATTCAACCAACTACATTAACTATAATTTATTCTTCGGTATTGTTCTTAATTGACTTACAAGCTATTGAAACATAAACTGTAATGATTAATTATTTTTAATTGAAATTAATCTCTTTGGAAAGAGTCTTCCAACAATAGGTGTTCTTTTAATTATATAGTCGATAGTAATTTTTCTGTCTACAATATTTAGGTTAATTCTATAAGTTATTTCGACACTTATAACAAATCTGGCTTCAGATTTTTGTCATCACATAAAGTTTTTAAGATAATTAGTTAGTAATTAAGCTTTAATAAAATAATTTAATTATTATAAAAACTAAAAAATAATTTTTTTTACAATTATTTGATAAAATTTGACGTTTAAAAAGAATCATTCAAGATTTGGGATTTATTTGTCAAAGTTCAACGGTTTTTATAAATAAGTGTGTTTTAAATTTAACGTTATCCGCCAAATCAAATCACTCCATTATTTTATAAATAATTTTTTCTAATCACAAAAAATTCATAAAAACATTTAAAATAATAAAAGTGTAGTTTTATTTTTAATATTTGAGCTTTACGTATATATATTTTTCATTAATTGCGTTTTTCCCAGTTATTTCAAAATCAAAAAGTTTATATTTTTTAATTACTCACGGAAGTATTTATCTGTTGGTAACAATTTCATAATTATGAGATTAATCAAAAAACAGGTATAGTGAAATATTCAGCAATTTTTCTGAATATCAGTATAAACACTGTTAAAATTGAAGGATAAATCCCTATTTTTCACAATTCTTAACATCATCAAGTTTTACTAGATAAGTTAAAATAAATTACTTTACATTTTCTTATAATGATAAATTGTTTAATTAATTAACTAATTAGTAATTATGTCAAAAATTTGATTTGATAGAAAAAATCTGAAGCCAAATTTGAAATTAGCATTAATAACTATATAAATTTATAGATAAACTTATAGATTTTAACTAAATATTGCATACATTAGATAATTTTTCATTATTTGTTGTCTTGTGTGTTATTTAAATTTTTTTATTGTTACATTATTGCTTATAACCAATGTAATCTATGATGACTTTAATATTTTATTTGCCTGTATCGATATATATTGATAAGGATTAAGAAGGATTTTATTCCTGAAAAATCAATTCCATGATAAATAATCGTAATTTCTTTAGTTTTTATTATTTTAATTAACGTATTAAAATTTAACTTTTTACTTTTGTTTATTTTTTCTACGAATTTTTCACTTTAATAACTAACAAAACAAATAAACATTGTAAAATTCATTTTAAATTGAATCCTGACTATTGAAATAATTTATTTTTCTAATATATTTAATTAATTGCACTTATATCCTGATTCCTTTTGTAGGTAAACAAAAAAATGTTTCCATTTATAACAATTACAATTATCTTGTAACAATTACAATCATCTTGTACTTGTAATTTGTGCAGTCATTCATTCATATGGAAAAAAATAAATTTTTAATGAAGTTAAATCAATAAGTTTCATTTGTATTATTAAATTTTACAAACTTTATATTTAAGCATGTGCGATGAAATGAAATTAATAATGAACTGATTGACTTGTTGTTTCATTTTATACAAAATATTCTTTTTGTTGTATGTAATATTCCTATTTGATCTTTATATATTACAACTGTATAATAAATAATACAAATTTATTCGAGGTAATATTATGTAGTTGAATATTTTTTTCAAAATTAAAGTTAATAGCTATTTATTAAACTATACTAATTTCGATTTAAGTTTCATTAGTATCATGCTATTATTGAAAAAGGTTAATTTGGTAAAATTAATTGTTGCGTGAAAATAATATACTATTTTAATCATTAGAATTTATTAATAAAACAATTTTATTTTAAAATTTTGCTATAAATGAAAGTATTAAAGTCAAGTAAGATAAAATTTTAGTATTTGATATTTTGATGATAAGTTGTATCGCAAGAGATCACAAATTGAGAACCAATGGCAAATGAAATGTTACACGATAATGGCCGCCATACTAACTTCACTACCAGCAGAAATAGTCGAAAACACAATAAATTTTTGTCAGCAAAGTTATTAAAATTTCACTAGAATTTCTTAGTAAACCAATATTTGTGAAAATAACAATGAGTAATGAACACATTATGGCTAATAAATTGATACCGTGAACAATATATACCATATATTCGTTAACCCTATTTGTTATTTCAAAGAAATCTATTAAATTTGTCTTGTTTACTTAGGTAAGTAGTTATAGGTTCATAGAGTTATAATCATTTGTTTGGTCTTAATTATTACTTCATTATTGTTAATAATATTCTAGTTCGCGTTTGGCGAGTTAAAACATAAGTTGCACTTGTTACTTCGCGTTACTACCAATAGTAATTTATTCATTAAAAATTGTCTTTTTTTTTTTTAGTATTTTTTAATTTTGATAGTGAACAAGATTTATATAAATGATAAACGTTAGAAGTATTTTTTAGAAAGAAAGAATAAAATAATTAGTAATAAAAGTTGATAAAAGTAAATTAGAATATGAGTTGTAATGAAAATTGTTATCTCGTTTAATGGATGTGGCAAAAAGTAGACGAGTCAAGTAACTAGTTTCTAACACATTATGAATAAAATATTGCACAATTATCGATTAAATATTAACACGGGTTTATTAATAAGAAGACCAAATATTATATTTATTAAAAAAGAAAAAAAAAATGATTTTAAAAACGTGTTAAGGAATGCTATATATTCGACTTTAAATATTAATTGAATTATATACTATCATGCTTAAAATTTTTGTCAAAAATTTATTTATCTACAGTTATAAAATAGTAAAAAAAAACTTTATTGCGGCAATAGCAACCTGTGTAATTAATTTATCTGTCATTGGTTCTCCCTCATGCGGTTGCTTTTTTTTTGTGATTTTAATCATCATTTCGACTACCAACGGAGATCGAAGGAACCAAGTTTCAAAGTATTTTTTAATTTTATCTATTTTTATATTTTATTCGAAATTGTTGAGTATCAGTAACATGAACCTATTTTTGTGAAGAGTGTTTAAATTATATTTTGCAGGCATACACAACAAGAGGTGATATGTCATTTTTTATCAAATTGACTTTGGTATAATTTCTTTTTATAAGATAGGCGTGGAATTGGTTAGTGAGATCAGAATCAATATAAAAATTCTATTTTGTCTTACGCCTCATTTAATTTCTCTTTTATAGGAGGTTACCATGTGTAATTTAAAGACGACGTTTTAAAATAACATTTCTTCAATGGTATTTATTCAATTATAAATATTATACTTATCATAGAAATAACTGATATCCCTGAAATTTCGAATAGAAAAATTAACATAATGTATAATTAAATTACAAAATTAAAAAAAAAATGTTTTTGAAATCCTTTTTCTTAGTGATTTTTCACTTATATTGTTTTGATAAAATAATTTTAAAATCTTACATTCATATTTTATTATCAATAACTCTTCTGCAGTACCATCATAATATGTTTGAGTTTGGATTTCATTGTTTATTTACATTATTATAATAATTATAATAATAACCTGGTAACAATTTTGCTAAATATGTCAGCAAAAGTGAACATTTATTTTAATCTAGTTTATTTTTATGTTATGTAATTGTTTAAGATATTTAATTTAATTTTTAGAGCATAATAAATTTTTGCATATATTTGATATTCTGTATGCACATTTCCCAATATGTTTTGCATAATAATCCCCATACCTTAGTTATAATTTCTTAGGTTATATTTATTTTCCCTGATTTGTCAAATATTAAATAAAATAATTATAAATAAATTGGGATGCTAAGAAAAAATTAGGAAATAATAAACTTATTTATAAATATTGCTGATATACTAACAATAAGAAATCATTATTATTTACTCAAATGTTTGAATAATCTTTGAAAGATTTATTAGTGCAGTCATTTGTTTTAATTTTTTTTTTAGAAATTCATTAAAAGTTTATCGGGCGCTGTTTTAATTAAAAAAAAATATTTTCATGTACATAATAAATAAAATAAATATTGATATTATTTTTAAAAGTTAGCAAGTTTCTAAAAATAAAAGTAATTGACCAATAATATACATTTTTGTCTATATTTGAAGTCATTAAATGTTTAATAGGAATTCATGCTCTACTTTTACACGCGCTCAAGTTGAAAAAAATGTTCTCTTATCTGAGGCATGTTCTCTTACCCAAATACTGACGTTAAAAATAGTTTTACAATTGCTATATATCACGTACACATCGATAATATAAACGTGTTGTTTACTCGTTACAAGCAGTGGTATATGCACAATTGGTCTAATTAAATATTTTTTTCATTTGAATTCTCGACTTTGAGTAACTATTTGTTATTTCACTATGTTGATTTTTAATGTATTTTTTTTCAACAGCTGCTGGAAATAATGACAAACAATCGCACGGTTCATCGCCTAGAGTGACTTTGCGCCTTACTAATACGGGCAACAACCAATTTAAAAGTTCATCGTCTCGACAAGATGAAAAGAACAAGAAATTAGCTGAAGAACACAATAACTGCAACATGTCGAGCGATACGTATGTGTCATTATTTTGTTGTTAGTAATTTTTTTAATCTGTTTAATCGCTTAACATATTTTCATAGTAAAACTATTGAGACTGAAGAAAAACTAGAAACACCTGCTCAATCGTCCCCAGTAACGACATCGAGTACACCGGCTACTACATCTGCAGAAACTGCATCTACCAGTGTGACCAAAGAAACCGATGATGTTAAAGAGAATGGATCAGGTGACACGGTTGAAACTGAAAAGAATCTAGAAAAAGAAACTGCAACAAAAGTATCTAAAGGTACTGAAAATTTAAAACGCCCTCCAGCTGAAGCAGATGAAGAAGTGAAACCAAAGAAACGCAAGGAAGAACAAAATCAAAATTCCAAAGGTAAAGATTTGATCTTTTTAACATTTTAAATTCTTAATTTTTGTTTTCTGTTATTAGGTAAAAGTGATGCTTCCAGTCCAAAACCTGAAAGTGATGAAGATAATAAATCAAATGGTTCAGGTCCTTCTAGTGCTGATAGCCCAGGTGGAGGTCCCAAAGTTCCTCCCCTTAAAATTGTGATACCGACCACAGATGCTGATACTGGTAGTAGAACTAATGGAAAAAATGGTAATCGTTCTCATCATCATACAGCGTTACCCTATGTTGTTCCTTCTGAAGAGTCTCCTCCATCATCAAACCAACCTAACTCGCCTAAATCACCACAAAAGCAAGGGTCTGATACTATTAATACTGATGAACAGAAATCCCCTCAAACTAGGGTACTTCGGTCATCTAACCGTTCTGGTAGTAATAGCAGTGGTGCACCTAGTCGAGGCAATTCACCTTCTGTTCCTGAAGAACAGTTAGTACAGACTAATTCACCAGCAGCAGCAACAACAACTGCAGAAACAGGGTCAACCAATCCTTCGCCAGTTGCACGTACTGAACAACAGACTGATAATGCTTCAGCGCCTACAACTGTAGAAGAAAAACAGTCAACCAGCACAACCACTACCACAACTACTACTACATCAGAAACTGCTGTAACTGCTGAACTTTCAGGGATTGAATTACACCCTAGGCGTCGTAAATTAAAAGCTAGTCGAACAGAGTCTGAAAATAGTGATACTTCTTCTGCTGCAAATATTGCTGCTACTGAAACAAATCCGTCCGGTTCAACTAATGATCCTGCTCCGGTTACCAATTGTTATCAAATGTTTCTGAATATTAGAAAACAAGTAAATTACTTATATTAAATACTTAAAATGTGTACATACTAAATTTTAGTTTTATTTGCAACTTTTAGATTGACAAAAGGCGTAAAGGCCTATTTCCAGTGCAGCCAAAACCACCATCTGGTTTTAAAGATTATCTCATGAACAGGTGCACTTATGTGTTGGCAAATAACTCTAATAGTCGTGTAGTTAATATTCAAACACCATCACCAGCCAATTTGCACGAACAGCTTAAAAAGCTTTTTGTTGAACAAGAAAAAGAGAGACAAAGACTTCGAATACAAGTTAGTTAATAATTTTAAATTTTAATTACAGAATATTTAATATGTACTTAAATTGTATACTACTACTATTATTGTTTATTTCATTTACTATTATTTTCTTTTAAGCATATTGTTGAAAAAGAAAAATTAGTTTTGAGCGTAGAACAAGAGATACTCAGGGTTCATGGTCGTGCTGCACGTGCATTGGCTAATCAATCATTACCGTTTTCTGTGTGCACTATATTAAAAGATGATGAGGTATACAATATTATGACCCCAGAGCAAGAAGAAAAAGATCGACATGCACGTTCCCGTTATAATGGTCGTCTTTTTTTGTCGTGGCTTCAAGATGTGGATGATAAATGGGAAAAAATCAAGGTAAATTACTTGAAAAACTTATAGTTGTGAAATTTTTGATTATATTTTATTTTTCCAGGAATCCATGTTACTTAGACATCACAATGAAGCAGAGAGCCTTCATGCTGTTCAGAAAATGGACTGGGGTTGGAAGCTCAAAGAATTACATTTGTGCAGCAATAGTATTGAGCCAAATATTGAGGAAGAGCATGTACCTATGGTTCTAGTCAGTGACGATTTTGATCTCTTGCCTGCTTGAAGTCCTTATTACTTATTTTTCATTTTTTATCATATCAAGCCATTATGGTTATTATTTTACATTTGTTGCCCTTACAAAATTGTTATAAACATCTATTGTCATTTTATCAAGTGTTTCCCACTTGTTTTGTGCCATTTTATTAATATGAATGAAGTCCAGTGTGACTAAGATATTTTTAGTATGCTAAGAAATGTTATAGTGGTGTATTTATAAGGGTTCTTAAGCATTCATTGTAATTTTTTATTAATGGTGACAAAATACATCATAATTCTCATTAATTACATTAAGTGTAATTTTTTATTTAAAAATAACAGTTCTTTGAAAATTATTTGTGTATTGTACTAATGTATAAATTATTACCTTGAGCATAATTGAAGAATTTCATTATTTGGTCATACAAAACTTTAGTTTTCAGAGCAAATAAAACTATGAAATTTTAATCGAGCTTTAGAAAATAAGAATTAATTTGGAGAAAAACTAAAAAGTAAAACTAGCATTTTTTTTAATTACCGAGTTTTTTGAAAGATTTAGCATTAGTAAATTTATCAAACAGGAAAAAGTACATTTTTCAATATGCAAGTATTTTTTAATACTTAAAATAAGAAAACATAGCACAAACTAAATAATTATATAAGTAAAAAAAAAAAAAAATAATAATAACTGGTAATTAATAATTAAACCAAAAATTAGGTAATAGGTTATAAGTAACAACATTAATGGATATGTATAAATATTTTTTAAAGATATAAAAATAACAGCAAAAAATTTAATTTGAATTAAATAATAATTTAATTATAACTTAACAATGAAATAACTTTAAAATAAAAACTCAACTTTTTATAAATATTTAAGAATTATTTGTCCTAAAAATCAAATATAATCGGTGACATATTATGTCTTCCAGCATTAAAGTTGCATAAGTCCTTCAAAATTTGTATTAAACGTCTATCAGTGTCTGATCTTTTTATAATACATTCAGGATGTTCAACAACTTTGACCATTATTTGATCAATAATTGGGCGTAATGCTACAATAGCAGCAGCTGATTTTACATCCATTTTCAGATAAATCCTGTAATTTGAGCATCAATTTTTATTTTCTATTTATCATAAATAATTATTTTACTTTTATATTAATTTATCTACATACCAGTCATCTAACACTACCCTAAATCCTTCATAAACTATTTTATGAGCTCCAAACAGTAACATGTGTATTGGTGTTATCATTGTCATTTGCATGCTAAATATAGCTCCAGTTTGAAGCTTAAAAAATAAATACAATAAATAATTGAAGTTTTACTCTCTTTTACTAATGCATCTCATTTAATCAATGATTTAGAAAAATATTTAAAGGACAAGTATATTATATAAAAGTACTTAAAACATAAATTATTAATTTAACTTAATCCAACTTTTTTTCTTAAATAAAAAAAGAAATGAGAACCATTTTTAAAATTTTCATCAATACATATAAGAATATAAAAAGAGTTGTGATTATTTTTTACTAATTCAATACCATGAAACATATTTTTAAATAATTGAGTTTTATAATTTTATTATATAAAAACAAGAATGAATGTCTACATAGCAAATTAATAGTATTTAAAAATAACTATTTTTTTTTTTTTTTTAAGAAAAATCTTAGTCACATAATTACAAGTAAAGTTAATGTCAAAAATTAATCAGCATAAGGCGATTCTATGATCACAATATCATATTTGACCTATATTGATATAAATGTTTACTTTCGTAGGCATTTTACATATTAAGGTTTGAAATTTTTACTAGGCCTCAGAGATAATTGAGGTATACTAAAAATACTTTTATAATAAATTAAATTTTTTATTCAACTTGATAGCTTTTTAATTTTTTATAATTAAATGCCAGTGCATACATCCAAGTTTTGTGATTTATTACATTGTAATATATGTGTAGTAATTCTACATTTTATAAGCATAGCTTGAGACTATGAAATTATAAATAACATTGAAGTTGATAAAATCTTTCAATGAAAAAGCTCACTGCCTACAAAGTTTCTTCAAAATTTTCAATTTTAAGATTTAAAACCCATATAAATTTTTTACTTAGTGTACTCGCATATACTTATAACTTTCAATTTATTAGATTTATTAAATTGATTCTTCATATATTAAATATATTTTAAAGTATAATATGATTGAAGATTTAAAGCATTTTAAATTGTTTTAATTCATACATATATCATAATAGTAATTTAAATTTCTTTTTACTGAAATTATTTCTATTACACCTACTGTGATCAGGTTTAAAGTACTTATTTTTTATAACATCTTACCTTATCAGCAAATACAAAAAATGGAGATGGAAATTTTACATCTTTATTTTTATCAAAGTTTACAGATGATTTGTGAATATTTGCACATTTTTCAGATTTGGTAAGAGTCTAAATAAAATGTCAAAATTATCAAATTTTTAATATTGATTAAATTTTGAATAGTACAACCTTTCGTCCAATATCATGTTTACAAATGTTAGGATAATATCCTGCAGTTAAAATACCTGATATTAAATCTAAATTTGGATTTTCATTTTCATTAAAAATATCAGGATAATAATAGCTTTCTTCAGGAAATCCCATTTGTATCATACGATGTGTTAGCTGGCACTATGGGAATAAAAATTAAAGACATTTTAATAATAGTTAAGATATAAGACATTTTAATAATAGTTAAGATATAAGACATTTATTACTCACTCTAATATTCGAACTTGTTGTCAATGAAGACCAATATAATAAATTTTTTTGACAAAAATTCCAGTCATTAATATTATGATCCTGTAAGTATTGCCATTTATAAAATGCTTTGAGCATTGCTACTTGATCTGAACAGCGTTTACCAGAGAATGTTTGTTTGGTCAAGGACAAATTACTCTCTTAAAAAAAAAAAAGTTCTAAAGGACTGCCAATTATGCTCACTATTTAGTGATTTAAAAAAAAATTGTTTACATTTTTTACCTTGAATAAAAATATCTCCTTGATCAGAGTGAATGGCAGCTATGATATTTATAGGATCACCTAATTTAAAAAAACTTGCTAGGATGATCATTCGGCTAATATTAGGTAAAATTGATAATTTTGCAGCAACTAATCCTAATGTAGTCAATTCAAAATTTCCACCCAAACATTTCATATCTAAATATAAATTTAAATATTTTGCATTTTTAATTTCAGGTAAATAAGTTTTATAAGTTGTATTGTTTGCAAGATTTAATTGATTTTACACAAGAACAAAATGAATTAAGCTTCAAATAAGTTTAAGTTTAAAACACTACCTTGAAGTATGTTTTGAGCTTCAATAATAGAATTTTTTGAAGGTGGTTCAATAGCTTTATTTAAATAAGTTTCCATATCACCTAATTTCAATAATTTGATTTGTAACCCAATTGAAACTAAAGGTATACGAACAATTTCGGGTACAATATAATCATCCAATTTTTCATATCTTGCCTATAATATTAAATATTCAAACCGAAAAATAAATTATATTGAAATAATTATAAATTAATAATAATATGTATTACTAATTTGCTTTTCAAACCTTTGAACACAAATGAAAACAATATCCTGGTTTGATTCGACCAGCACGACCCATACGTTGCTTTTTATTGGCTTTTGAGACCCAAACAGTCACAAAATTTGATGTATTATCATGAGCAGTGAATACATTTATTCTTGCTTTACCGTGATCTATGACATACACAACATCTTCTATTGTTATAGATGTTTCAGCTATATTAGTAGCAAGAATAACCTAAATTACACAAATATTTTTTTTTTGTTAAAAAAATAACATATAAAAATTATATAAATAAAAACTATAGTGAATTTGATAAAGGTAATTTTTAAATCAAGTACCTTTCTTACACCTCGTCTTACAGTTTGAAAAACTTTTTCTTGTTCAGAAGTGGGAAGTATTGAATGAAGAGGCAAAAATAAAAATTTTGAAGATGCTGAAAAAAAGAGCTTATTACTTAGTGCAATCAAAATTTATTTTACTTCATCTTAAATTTATAAATATTAGTTTTTTTTAGAAATGCAATAATCTCAAATGAAAATGGAAAATTTGATGTGCAAAAATAACAAATTTATCTATTTCATTTATAATAAAATAAGTTAATTTTTATTATTCTAACATTTTTTAAAAAGTTGTAAAATTACAATTTTTTTTTATTATTTGATATATAATAATTTGGTCAATATCTAACTAATTTTTGATCAAATACTTAATTTTTTCATTTTCCAAGCAAATTATTTTGATAATATTAAAATTATTTGCAATAAGATATTTATGGCACAAGATATAAAAATAATTTAAAGTTGATTTTTGTCTAAATGTTAGGTTTGCAAGTTGGGGAATTTTTTTTCAAATCAAGTTTCTAGTGTTTATACATACATGCATAAGGAAATAAAAGTGTAAAGAAGGTAGTCTCATAAATTTTTTTAGGGGCGACTATTTTATAAATTTTAAAGTATAAATAGACACTTTTTTTGGTTAAGGAACATTTTTTTTAACATGAAAAAAGTATTAAAATTTTATAACAGTTTTTTCCTTATTTAGAATTGTTTCAAAGTTCTAATTATACTGATTAAATTATTATGATTTTACACAATGATTATCTTTATATTTTATCTTACTTATCAAGACTCTTCTTTAGGTTTTAAGGAAGTTAACCAATTTTTGTCTCATAACTATATTTAATATAAATATGGATGGTTACATTAAATTCAATTTATATTTATCAATTTGGCAGTTTTGATTGAGAGGTAACTAGCCCCTCATTCCACTTATATGACCGCCTCTGTTTAGTCATAATAAAGGAGGGTGTTCAATTAAGGATAGGGTACTTATTGAAATTATTGAATATTTTTAACTTTTGTAAGGGAAAATATTGTTTGATTTATAAAACTCTACAATAACGTAATACATTGTACACTAATATGTAGTTTAATAATAATAATAGTAATTTTTTTTTATCTTTTTAGGGATAAAAAACTTAAATTTAATTTTCTTTAATAGAAATCTCTATTTTTAGTCAAAAAATTTAAATATAAATTTATCAATAATTTGGTGTTTATAATATTGGAGGCATTATTATGTTTCAATTGGTCATAAATTACCGATAATAATTTATGATTTATATATATTTATATTATAATTTATAATTTATTTTTGCTATTGTAAGAGACATTTGATAACAAGAGTTGTCAATAAAAACTTATTTATGTGACATCATGAAGAAATGTAAACTACTGTATACTAAACAGCAAATTCTCAATTGAACATAAACATATAATTTAATTAAACATTATTGTAGTTTTTTGAATCAAAACATTTTTTTTCATTTATGAAATTTTTAATAGTTTCCAAGAAAATTGGCCTTTTATCCTTAATCAATTACTCTGTATTGTAATACATAAAAATATAGTGCAATATAACAAAAAATTAAAAATAAAGTAAAATATTTAGATTACCCTATTAAGTATAAACTCTAAAAAGTCTATAAAATTACCAAAATATTCATCTTGTAACAAACATTCTTTCAATGAAATAATCCAATCCCAGCCAGGCAAAAATATTAAAATAGCCCCAGATTTATCTTGTATCTGATCATTAGTTTCAATAAATTTAAGTAGATGTTTAATAATTTCTATATGCTGGTCATCTTCAGAAATCATAGCTACTTGTTCTTTAACATCATTTGTATAATCATCAGAAACATTCAAGTTACAATTTAAGTTATTCTGGTTTTTAATAAATTTTCTTTGTTTTTTATTAATAGTTGGACAATACCCAGTTTGTTGTATTATATCTTCTAAAAATAACTCTAAAACCAAATACAATATTTAAATTATCTATTTAACAATAAATTTATGTTAATACCTTTTACAGGATAACATGTTCCAATTACTTCAATTACAGGGCAATTATTAAAATATTTACTGAATAATTCAGTGTCAATAGTAGCAGACATTAGAATAATTCGAATATCATGATATTTCTCAGCAATATCTTTAAGAATAATCATTAGAAAGTCTGTATTAGCATGACGTTCATGAACTTCATCAACAATTATGTGAGATATTCCATGTAAGCCATTTTCTAATCTACTCATTAATATTCCTTGAACATTCAAATAATTTATAAAATTATTTATTAAAATATACAAGTAAATTTTTAAAAATGTTTGTAATAAATAGAAGTGGAACAACAATCAGCACTATTTTAAGTTATTAATAAATTATTTAAATGTAAATAAAATTTTTTTTAAAAATACAAACAAAAATTTATGTTTTATGGTATTTTTTAATAAACTTAATTAACTAACCATCTGTACAAACTAAAATAGATCCATGTGAGCGTGGTAATACACTATCAAATCGTATAGAATAACCTACACTATCTCCTATACTTTCTTTTCTCTCGTAAGCAATTCTTTTAGCTACAGAAATAGCAGATAACTTTCTTGGTTGTGAGCAAATAATATTGCAATAGGCACCTTTATTATTAATTATAAATTCATCAAGAATAAATTGACAAACCTTTGAAAATGAAAAAAAAAAAATTAATTGAAATATATTTTTAGAAATAATTAATCTTTCTTAACCTGAGTTGTTTTACCACAACCAGTACTTCCTTTAATAAGAACTACTGTATTTTTTCCTATAGCACTTATAATCTCATTTTTTTTATGGAAAATTGGAAGTTTGCTTCGATTTAGTATGCTTTCAGATTGGCGACTTAAATTTTTTAAATGCTTCTTAGAGAATCTTAAACTCATTTCATCTAATGATATCTGAAACAATTTAAAACAATAAATACAAATATTATTCTATATCTATATATCCCATCCCCCAAAATAAAAATTATATGGTTTTAATTATAATAATACAGTTAATAAGAAATAATATTTGTAGTTTAAACTAGAGAGTCTGAATAATCTTACATGGGTCAATAACTTTGATGTACTAGTCCATGCATTAAAATAACAATTTGGTGGTGACCATGAAATAACCTTATCAACATTAGTTGATGGTTCAAACTCTTTGTATTCTGCAAGTTTTACTTGAGGTATTAATGATATAGAACCCTCAATCTCTAAAAGACTTTTATCCTAAAAAAGAAAAAAAAATTGATTTATAAAACACAATTTAGTTTTTATGGTTACTAACTTCAACTACAGGTTTAATATTATATTCATCTAATATGTCATAAATACGATGAACAAGTTTTTGTTGAACATTAACTTTATATTCTTTTAGTAAAATTTCTTTAATTGGAATCTGAGTGTAATCATCTACAATACCCAAGTGAAATAATTGACGAACAACAGAGACAGCACATCTTTTAGATGCATAATCTTTGTTTTTATCAACTTGGCATCCAGTTATCTCTAAAAATATTTAAATAAGAGATACTTTCAACAAAGAATTATACATATAACGTACCTTTCTCAAGTTCCAAAATGAATATAGATATTTTTGCTACAAAACACCTAAAAAATTTGATTTTTTTCTTCATAATACCATAATAATACTTATATTATACTATTTTTTTTAATATCAGAATGGTAGTAGATCAAATATATAAGTATTTAATAAAATAAATACTTATTGGATAAGCACTTAAAAAAGTAGTCCAACTTTGTGATAAAAAAAAAAAAAAAAAATTGAAGGCTCAGTGCAAAAACAATGTAGCTACATTTCTTTATTTTTCAGATTTTTATGATTAAATTTAGATAAAACTCATGAAAATAAAAAAAAGAAATATTTAAAATAAATCATATAAGAAATATAACATTCAAAAACAATGTTAGTAACAATAATTTTTTTAAATGTCTAGTTTTTAGCAACCTGAAAAGTTTTAAAAAATGGAATATACTTGTATTTACATAATGTTATTAATTGAAGTTAAGTTAAAAGAAATTTAAACTAACAAATATATTTTCAACTAAGATTCTCTTATGACTGTATAGAAAAACTAATGGATAAAAAGATTGGCTGAAGGGTATACAACTATTACACTTTTCTAGGGCATCACATTAAAAAAAATATTCAATTCTCAATTGTAATTTCCTTAGTAAAATTTATTAATATATTATTTTAATTCTGTTAGAATAAAAAAAGAACCATACTGAAAAGTATACATGTGAAATAAAACATTTACTTTTCATCAATATTTGTATAAATGTAATTGGGATTGCTTATTTTGTTAATTTTTATAAAAGTATTCAAAAATGATTTTGCAACATCAGTAGTCCAATTTCCATGGTTTACAGCATTTTCATTCAAACAGTCAGTCTAATAGTTAAAAATAAAATACTTAGAAAAAATATACTTAAAATTTAAAATTACATTAATAATTAATGTTTTACTAACCTCATCAATAATAATGCTTTTAATATTTAAATTTTCAACAAATTTTTTATATTCAATATATTCAGCATCACCATTATTAATATTATCATTTAAAGGATTACTAAAACTGATTAATAAGTTGTTGTTAGTATTTGTTTGGTTTGATTTATCATTTATTTCCTAGTAATTAAAAAAAAATTCATAATAAATTGTAAATAATTGTTTTCAGAATAATTTAACTACATTTAAAATTAAAAAGGAGCACATTTTTCTTAAAAGTTAATACACAATATAATTATAGTTCAACAATCATAGTTTTAAAAGATTAGTTTATAGAAATAATACAACAAGTATTGAGGGTATATTAGAATTGATTCCAAGACAATGGGTACACAAGGACTGTGACACTTATAATTTTAATTAAAGAAAAAAGTATTCTTTTATAAAAATAAATATATATATCTAAATAAAAGCTATTTAATTTGGTATATCTTAAAACTATAACAAAGAAGTTATTTTTAACAAAAAAAATCTACATATACAAGTAAAATATAACTAATAAAGCACATCAATTAAGCAAATAGCAGATCTTTATGTTTAATAAATTAATTAAAGATCTTAATCAAGAAAACTATTATAATAATAGAAAATATTAGAAGCCAAAAAGCAATTTTCAGAAGATTTTTGTGATATCTTTACATTTGGTATTTTGAAGTTTTATTCTTAAATAATTTTTTAGCTTAAGTTACTCATTTATTTTTATAAAATCTTTATTTTGTTTTCTATAATGATGAATGAAATTACTAGAGATATACAAAGAGAGGTATCATGGGGCATGTTGTTCGCTGACATTATAGTGTTAATAGGAGAAAATAGGGAGGAAACTAATCAAGGGCTTGGAGAGGTGTAGAGAACCGCTTTTGAAAAAAAGGGTTTAAGAATAAGTAGGAGTAAGACAGAGTAAATAGAGTACGAGTTTGATATAGAAGAACACAAGTTAGGTGAAATAAGGAGATCAACAACAATAGGTGAGAACATGATTGGAGAAGTGGAAAGTTTCAAGTATTTAGGATCAGTTGTGCAAAAGAGCGGTGGTATTGACGAGGATGTAAGACACAGGATTAAGTGCGGGTGGTTGAAGTGGACAGAAGAGGGTGGCTTATGCGATTAAAGAATACCAATGAGGTTGAAAGGTAAATTCTACAAGACTGTAGTGAGACCAGCTAAGATATATGGTTCAGAGTTTTGGGCGGTTGATAAGAAAGTAGAGCAGAGATGAGAATGCATGGATGGATGAGTGGAGTGACTAAAGAAAACAGGATAAGAAATGAACATATAAGAGGGAGTATAGGTGTAGCGTTAATCATGGATAAGATGAGAGAAAATAGACTTAGATGGTTTGGTCATATTATGAGGAGTGAGGAATCGAAAGCTGTAAGAACAGTTATAGAAATGAATGATGAAAGAAAAAGAGTTAGAAGACCAAAATGAGATGGAGGGATGTTATTGAATGCAATTTTAGGACGGCTGATGTAGGAGATTGTAACAAGTGGAAGTTAAGGATAAGGGTGGCTGACCTCAAGCTGTTAAGATTAAGGAGAGTAAAAAAAAAAAAGATTTAAAGACAGAAAATATAGAAACTTTTTGTTAATTTTTCAGAATTTATTATGAAATACTTTTTAACAGTTTTAGTATTAATTTTAACCATATAAATTATATTTTTATTTATTCAAATAAATCAAAATTCAGTTGATATAAAACATATGTAATATGGTTTGAATATAATTAAAAAACTTTAATTTTAATGAATATTAAAAATCTTGATATAGTGATTCTTTATTTGAATATAGATTCATATACTTTAATATAAAAAAAAGTAAAATATGACAATTTTCTTACTTATTTACAAGATAATAATCAAATAAATAATAATGAACATATAATGACCAAACTCTACATTAAGAGTAGTAAAACAAATACATTGAATTATATATAGATACTAACTTGTAAGATATTTTTTGTGATTCCAAATTCTTTTTGTAAATATACAGCATAGTCTTGACAAGCCTGTTTAATTGCTTTGGACCTATTTTTAGCTACACCAATTCCAACATAATTATGTCCAGGCACTGTTAGCTTACATATTTCATTATAATTATTCTTCAAATCATCTTTTAGAAAATACAATTACAGATTTTAAATAGTACCATGATTAGTTAAGAGGCTATTTTGTTAACTTATACTGAACACACCAATAGCCAGTACAAATGTTTATTAACTTGAAAATTTAGTGATGTGTTGTTACAGAGGTTAATTTTGGGTTAAAGAGGTTTACTTCCCTTTCGAAACAAAAAATATTTCTTTGTTACTACATAACCTTATGACAAAGTTACATAAACTTGGGACCTTTTAAAGTAGCTCACACAAATTTATAAATACATATAGTTCCTAGCTTTAGTTATTATATTATTTTTTTAAATTCTTAGTAAAATAAATAACAATGATTCCATAAGTAATTTAAAATTAAGGTTATATGTTAAAATTTGATAGTTATTAAAAATAACTATAACTGTAAAAATATTATATTATAATATAATACCTTCATGATTAAAATTGAAATCAGGATTCAAATTGTTTATAGAACACCATTTAAGTAAAATCTTTTGTGCGTTAGAAATATTGTTTTTTTTCATTTTGGGAAAAATATCGCTTGTTCACTTACTAATAAAATAAAATACTGAAAAATAACAAAAAATGAAGTCAAAATTTTGTTTTTGATATGTCAAATTCATGAGAACAGAATATAGACAAGTCGTTAAATTAGAAACAGTGTGTCCATCGATTAAAAATTAAATGTTTTTATCAAATTGTTTATAAATATTTATAACTTCATATAACAAGTCTTATTTGATATTAATATACCTTAAGTAGATTATTTTAGTGGTTTTATTACGGAAGGTAATTGGGAGTGTTATAACTTCCCAATTATTAAAGACAAAATTTAAATTCTGTTTGTTTAAAAGTAAATATTGATAAATTTAATATATTATCTTATTTACACTTCGAATATCATGATAATCCATAAAGGTTGATTTTAGGAGTGTCTAATTTTTATATAAAGTAATTTTGATATCTAAGTCGGACATAAAGTAGAACAAAGGTTTTATCATAGTTATTTTAACCACATTTAAATTTTAGATTATCTTGAAATTAGTTAATCCTATGAAACTCTCAGTATATTATTGTGTATTAATGTTATTGGACACTAGTACAAGCTGTACTTATTTTTAAAAGACAGAACCTTTATTGGATCGTAAATTGATAAGTGCTTATAACTGGTTCACAGTATGATAAGGTAACGTTTATCGATAAAATGTTTTGCCGTTTTATAAAAATAAGTACGCTTCTTTTTAACTCTCCTAAACTTTAAATAAATATAACTTGTTGAAAATAAAATAATAAAAAATTTTCTTTTTAATTGATCAATCTGATGATAAAAAAAAAAAAATTGGGGTTGCCATTTGAAAATTGAAACGAGTTTAGTATATAAGGATATGGTAGCAGAAAATTATTTTTTTGTGTATATTAGCTCAACAAAGAATCATTATTGTTCAAAAATATAACAATGATTAGTTTTAATATTTTTGAAGATATTTGATGAGGCGTATGAGACTAAGTATATTTTTTAAAATTTATACTAACAAAAAAACCCAGCACAGGGGGGTCGCGGCACAGTGGTGACGTGGCATAGTTGGATCAAGTATAATGATATCTGACAGTGATTAAAATCACTATCAAAAATAAACGCTTCGATGCAAATCTTTAGATAGTGTTTAATTTTAAAAAAATTGGTGTTTTATTCCAAAAGCTACTTGATCTGCTGGTTCCTTATTAATATCTCGATTAAGATAAAGTATGTCGAATGAAAAAAGGTTTATTAAAAAATATTATTTCTCATAAAAAAATTGTGTGGATCCATAAACTTTTCAATAAGTTATAGCATTATAGTTAAATATAATATATAAAT